TTGGCCAAATTATATGCAACTATATGCAATTCTGTAATATTTATGACCAAATTTTTGACAGAACTTTCCAGATTTTGTTTCAAAAAATTTCATAATTTGAGCTTGTTTAAATTTTATATTGTAAGATACTGGATCTATTAGACTTTATTCATTTCATCAATAAAATTATCAAATTATGTACCAATTCATATTAAATGATATAGACATATAGGTGGACGTAAAAAACGGTGTAAGCCAAGTTATTTAGAGATAGCCAGTTCGTTGAATGTTCATTTTGAGCATTAATTCTAAAAAGCTGATATCTAATGTGTGATGAAATGCATTAAAAAGTTCGCAGCCAATTAACCCAATTGATAATCTGGGTGATGATAAAACAAAGTAATTCTAAATTAATAACTTTTTCAAGGCTTTATCAGTTAGGTAACGGACGAAAGATTTTTCAAAGGTTGTAAATTCTATTAGAGTAACCATTGTAAGTACATTAACAAGAAAGAGCTGCTTTAATTGATTCATGTTTTTATCATTTGGCTATTTCATTATAGTATTGTAAAATCAATAAACAAATTATCGCACTGAAGTCAAATCTTTATTGAATAATCCGTAGCTACAATATATGTGCATTTCATTTAAAGAATATATGACTAAGGGACATTTAAAAAGTATATTGCTTTTAAACATTCAATAAAATAAACTAGAAATTTTGATACTTTATTATCGACCGGCAGAAATATACCAACCAATAACTGGTGAAACGATATATTCGTCGTCGACTTTGTCTTGCCTAGCACCCATAAAACCTGCAGCAACGTTTAATTTAAAAGTATTATCCAAAATGCTTAATGACATTGGAACATTCACCAATCCAGAAGGAATTTCGAAAGGATTAATTGAGCTAGGCATTTCGAATCCATCTTTATTATACGGAAAAAATGTACTTATCCATCCATCCCAACAAGGCAATGTATAAAGAACTTCTTCACCACTGGCTCTCTCGATTCTAGGAACTTGAGTAATAACCATACTCCAAAATTTTTCATCAACATTTCCTTTATAAGTTTCAATAAATTGGGCGATGACAGGCTCTAATCTGTTGAACCAGAAATCAATTTCTAAACCTAAACTACGGATTTCAGTTAATTTTTCTTGAATATGTAACCAATCTTCTAAGGTACCATCAAGTGTAACTTTTGGGATGCCACAGCCACCTCGTAGTCTGTACCTAAAATACTTTTTCATAGCATCTAACAAGATGATTCTTCCGGCAGTAAGAGAAGCATTTGTTGTTGTAGAGAAATCACATTCGAAAAGTTGTTTTAAACCATCTTTTTTAACTTGTTTATCAATTGTGTCAGAGAATCTAGTCATTACTTGTGGCCAATCACCAAAAATATTTCCGTCGACATAACCTATAATGTCACGGGCATCAATACCAACGTCTTTCTTGCCTCTATGATCGACGAATAAAGAACGAAAGTGCTCAGCATTTTTATTAATGTGTGTACTGACACCTTGCATAATTGTCAGCCATACGTCATCTGGTGATAATCGAAGGTGTTGATGAAGGGTGTAAGCATGGATAATCGCAGAAGCAAATCCGTGTGGACTTGCTGGTTCTTTGATTATAGAAGTTGGATTGGGTTTCAAATTTTCCGCATAATCAACTGAAATTGCATGTAATTTAACTGACCATCGGCTAAAATATTCCTTAATATCATTATGTTCAAGTTGAACATTTTGTGGTTCAACATTATCGGTTATTTTTTGGGTGCTTCGTGAGGAAGTCATTGATAGTCTAAAAAAAAAAACGCTAAAATAAATACGTACGTACGTATTTATATTGTATTCATATTTAAAGTTATATGCATATATGTACGCATATAAACAGAAAGAGAAAACTAAAAATGGGTATCAGCCTTACAAGTATGTACTACATGGTCTCGGATCAGATAGGTCTAAAGACCGAGAATTATTATCTTTGTAGCTATTAAGATTTACTCAATACACATGTACAGTAATATGAAGCGATTAAAACAATTTGGATAATTAAATAATATGTGTTGTTTCCCAGCAAAACCATGCTTAGAGTATATAAAAACATATATACTAAAGCATGATTTACCCATATCTAACAAAATAATGAGATTTCTAAATAATAATAAAGTCACTCGATAAACTATAGCAGTGATTACGTGACTAAATTAATAGTATTAGTCTGGATGACTTCAACCGGGTTATAATAGAGTTTTCCCCTTGAAAAAAATGGCACTTCTAGTTACAATTTTTAATTAAAATAAAATTTTGAAACAGCAATATTATGTAATTGTTATTCTTTTAGCACTTTAAATTTCACGAAATTCATGATTATTGAAAAAAACGCTAC